CTTGGGAGGCTGAGGCAAGAGACTTGCTTGAGCCCAGGAGTTGGAGGTTGCTGTGAGCTGCGATGTCACAGCGCTCTACCCAGGGGGATAGCTTGAGGCTCTGTCTCAAAGAAAAAAAAAAAGAAAAGAAAAAGAAAATAATTTCCTTTCAAATGAACAGAGTCAACCATGTAAAATCCTGCTGGCTACAGAGGATGATCTGCATGGCTTTTTCATTTCTTTTTGCTTCTGATATCTGTAGGAATTAAGAGATTGTACAGAAAAGTAGCATGTTTTCCCTAAACATGCTTTAGTGCCTAGCTGTTGTACCAGTTATATGTTTGTATTTTAGAAGTAATGAATTGTTTGGGATTTTTTTTTTTTTCAAAACAAGGTCTTACTCTGTTGCCCAGGCTGGAGCGCATTAGCACGATCACTGCTCACTGCAGCCTTGAATTCCTGGTCTCAAATGATCCTGCTGATTTAGCCTCTCTAATAGGTGGGTAGGATTACAGGTCTATACCACTGTGCCTTTATTTATTTATTTTAAATTTTCATAGAGACAGTGTCTCATTAAGTTGCCCAGGCTGGTTTTGAACTTGCGGCCTCAAGCAATCCCCTTGCCTTGGACTCCCAAAGTGCTGGAATTACAGGCATGAGCCTCTGTGCCTGGCCTGTTCAGGATTTGGTTTTCAAAATAATAATTTTAGATTGTGAGACTCAGCATTTCATGACATTTTCTAAGTGTAGCACTACTTCGTAAATGGGAATAAATAATTTTTTGAACGCTAAATTGTACAGCAGAGCTGTACAACAATTTTTACTGACAATTCAGAAGACCATTTGCATGATGGTAGGTTTATATGGCTATAGAGCATCTCTGTTACCAAGTCGTGCCACCTTACAGAACAACCACTTATAGAAAAGAGTGCTGCAGTCATCTCCGCAGGATTTGTGAGGCATCATCATAATTTACTCAGATGGTATCTCTAGGTACTTTCTTATTTCCTGGCAGACAAGGTTCAGAAACCAAACCTGAGATATTCTTCAAAGCTGGTTTCCAGAAAAATAGGCCCATGTCCTTTCCTAAAGGGGGAACTGAACTGGAATGAGGTTCAACTGAATGAAGTCACCAATCGCTTCATTGTTAGAAAAAAGTCATGCATTCTAATCTCAAGAGTCTCAGCTTTGCTATAGAGCTTGCCTTAGATACCTTCCAAAATGTAGATATACCCCAAATTCAAGGACTTAGTTATCACTTACCATTTTCTATCCAGTCAGTACCCTTCATCATGAGTTCACAGTGATCCATGTGCTTTGATAAGAGCCCTAAATGCAGAATAAAGTCAGTGAATCTGCAATCTGGCTTTCGCTCTTGGAAATCAATACCTAAGAGTTTTTATCATTGAAAAAGCTAAGCAGCTAGCAGAATTGGATTTTTATAATTAGGCAGATTCCAAAACTTGACTTCTAAGGGTCCAGTAGTTACCTAGAAGTACGACAGCCCCTTTCTCCTATTGATATTTTCAAGGTCATCTTCATAAAGAATGGGGATACACAATAACACAATTTAGGAAAGTAGAGGACAAAAATGACTATAGAAATGAAAGAATTTTCATTGTACCTACAAACAAGACTGCTGATCTTCGGATGGGAAGTTTTGTATTCTTGGAGTACGTCAATGTTTGGGCTAGGATGTTAATTTTCCCCATGCATTTTTTTCCCTAAGTGGGGAAAAAAATAATAAGAGTACAAAGCAGTGAAGTAGCAGCACTGTTTTCATCAGCGTCACCATAGTTTGTGGGGTCAGGAACTGTATACAGAGTATAGTAGTGCTTAAAATAACTACAGTTACTGAGTAAGTATTAGACCAGAATGACAACCCCCTGGCCAAGTTAAATCCTTTGAATGCCCCTTACTTGCACCCACTCATGCCACATGTTGTTTCTTAAGCCACCTTGGCTCCTCTGTATCTGAGCCTTTATTCTCTAAGTTCCATCTTGAGCTCTGCCTCCCTGTGAGCTCTTCCCTGACCACCTGCCTGACCTAACCCTGCTCTGAGCATTTTGCAGGTATTCTTCTCTTGGCGCATTTTTTTTTTACCTTGACTTTTTATTTAACTTTCCATGGAGGTTTTATATCTCCCTTACTAGTTTGCAAGCACCCCTCAGAAAAAAAATTTTTTTTGAGACAGTCTCACTGTGTCGACCTTGATACAGTGCTGTAGTGTTACAGCTCACAGCAACCTCCAACTCTTGGGCTTAAGCGATTCTCTTGCCTCAGCCTCCGAAGTAGCTGGGACTACAGGCTCCTGCCACAGCGCCTGGCTATTTTTTTGTTACAGTTTGGGTGGCCAGGTTCGAATCCGCCACTCTCAGTATATGGGGTGGGCGCCCTACTCACTGAGCCACAGGCGCCGCCCCCTGCAGTTGCCATTGTTCAGCTGGCCCTGGCCAGGTTTGAACCCACCAGCCTTGGTGCATGTGGCCAGCGCTGTAACCACTGTGCTATGGGTGCGGAGCCAGAAAGTATTATTATTATTATTATTATTTTGTAGAGACAGAGTCTCAGTTTATTGCCCTTGGTAGAGTGCCATGGTGTCACATAGGCCAGAAAGTTTTTTTTTTTTTGGCTGGGGCTGGGTTTGAACCTGCCACCTTTGGCATATGGGACTGGCACCCTATCCTTTTGAGCCCCAGGCGCCGCCCCAGGCCAGAAAGTTTTAATCCTTGGGCTTTCCCTGGCCTACTGCACACTGGATGTACTGTGCTTGTTGGGTGAATGGATCTCACATAAGGACAGGTACCTCAGGAATGGGAAGAGGAAACAGGAATTTGTTCCTATAGAATTTATTTAATTAACATGGATAACTTACAGTTTCATCCACTGATAGCACTGAGTTTCCTGCTATAAATACTATCATCGCTGCATTAGCTATAAGTTTGACTGCAGGTCAGAGAGAGTAATCCCTGGTGGAAAGCCTGACATGAGACAACTGCAATTCCGATCAGAGGAACCTACCCTGGGCCCTAAATAGGACATACATATGGAAGATTCCTGGGAACAGTCTATCGAGTCTTCATAGTAGGATCCAAGTGGTTTGAAAACCATGAATGGGCATTCTGTGGCCACCCTGACTCATACTAGCTGCTAAGCTCACAGTAGCCTCTGTTAAGTTTGTAAGGAGAAAGGATGTTGTCTAGGTCTTGGCAGAGCCAGTGGCATGCAGCCATCATGCTATATGGCCACACAGCATGACAGCCCTTGCTTGGGACTCCCTAGACATGCTCTGATAGAATGAAACAATCCACTAAATTCAAGGAAAGGATTAGATATAGTTGTAAAGGCAACACATAATTCCATTTCTTTTTTTTTTTTTTTTTTTTTGAGACAGGGACTCAAGCTATCCCCCTGGGTAGAGTGC